GTAAGCAGAGTGGGGCCCTTGACAGTTAGCACACTTCTCTTTCATTGTAAATGCTTCTGCAGCTACATGAGCATCATCTCCGCACTTAGGGCAAGTCGGTTTACCCCTACAAGACGGTTTAGGATACCCGTATCTTTGCACTTATAGCACCTCAGAGGGTTGGGTATGTCCTCTGACCTTGCAGTGGAGAAACCCAAGTTTCACAAAATCTGGTCGCTTCGGTCGATTAAAAATGAGGGTAAAAAGTTTATTGGAACAATCTTTGCAATTTTTTGTCATGGTTATATATGTTGCACTGCATAACAGTGCAACATATTTATATAGATATCGAGAATCTGAAATGCCTTCTAGATATCTACTGTCTATCACCCCGCGCGAGCTGTTGTCACTTGTGTGGTGAGGCTTCGACCTGGACTGTTTTAAGGGCAGTGGCCTTAAACAGCGCCTCAGCTTCCACGTTGCTTTGGCACTGTATGAAATCTCCCGGGTGATCTTTCGTGCGGATATTATTATCGAAATGTGCGACAGACATCTTTCAATGTAAAATGGTAAAACCTTTCCCAGGTGGGTGTCCCCAGTGGCATAAAGCACAAAAAAGAGTGGTACGTAGTTCTTAGGCGTTTTGGTCAAGGTCAGTATTTTGTTGTGTCTTGGTCATTTTTTCGGGTTTACGTCGCTTGGTGAAATGTTTAGCAGAACTCATGGGAGTTTAAGCACTGGTAGGTATCAGCTTGTCAGTGGTGGCTCACCCACCCTACCACCGCAATGCCTCGGAGTATCATAATACCCATCGGCCGAGGCTTGACCAAGACCTCGACCGTCAACGTTTAAGGTCTCTTCTCTCCACCTTTTGTCCTCTCGGCACGGTTGGATGCACCTTAGGATTGGGGATTCGGGGTTCTTGGTTACGCCACTCACCAAACACGTGCTTTCACAGCTGCTCCTTGCGGGGAGCAATCCGTAAAACCGAACATCCCATGCTCTGTACGCCCACACTCAAAACGGTCGGACACGTTTCGCTTCTTGGACGGCTGTGGGCGACTTTCGAGGTTGTGATTTTGTGGGGGGCATTTTAGGACATACTCGCTGTTCTGTTGCCAATTTTTTTTATCTGTACACTTTTATGTGCATTATTTTTGTCTTAATCCAAACGCTTGCGTCCCTTTTTTTTTTTTTTTTTTTTTGATGCCTCGTGTAACCGTTTTAATGCAAGTGCCCTGATGCTCGCTTATCTTTAGCCTTAGCCGGTGTGTGTAATCATTTCTAGGCTGCCTCACCACCATTTTGACCTCTCAATTTTCAAGTCATTATCCCAGTGGCCGTTAAGCAAGGACGCAATTACTGTTTTTTTTTTGTTTTTTTTACTTGATGGATTATATGGTCTAGAAATTTGCTCGATGTACCTCTTGGGTGGAATATCTTTCTGGTAGTTTGAGAACGGTCATTTAAATAAGCCAATTTTAGGCCTGTCACTCAATCCTTGTTCGTCTAAGAGTGGCGTGTTTAGCGTTCTGCTCCGCACATGCATTCAAAGTGGTCTCGCAGCGTCAACAAATGACGTCACAAAAACAGCAGTACCATACTGTCTGATGTCACGATCCTGAAAAGTCGGGCGTAGAAATTCTGGAAAAAAAAGCAAGAAAGAACGCAAGTGCGACTGTCCTCGCGGCGTCCAAACTCCTGCATTAGAACAGAGGTCTGCCACGCCCACAACCGCTGCTGTGGACGGATAAACAAGATAAGTAATGTATATTTCGGCGATTCTAATCCAAAAATGGACAGCACAAAATATCCGTTTTCAAACAGGCAGAAATATTTGCACTTTCGAAATTTTAAAATGATCGGAAAACTAACGGTTACTTTTAACGTGAAACATTAAAAGTAACCGCAGCCGTGGCCTGTGACGTCCCATGATGCAACGCGCGCAGTGTTGTATTATGGGACGTCACAGAACTACACACCAATTCAGTTTCTCCGCTAAATTTTGCGGGGAAGTTGAATTAGTGTATAGGTTACGTGACATCAATTTCCCCGCTAAATTTAGCGGAATAATTAACGTCCCGTGGCCTAAACACCTATTCAGTTTCCCCGCTGAATTTAGCAGATAAATCGACATTGCGTGACCCGATGTCAGGTGATATTCCAGAACGTTTCACGTAAGCAACACCATTTCCCAACAATTTTGGCATATCTTCATATTTTTCAAATAACTGCCCATTCCCTTTCTTCCCAAGTAATCAAGTAATTTAATACGTTCTAAGAGTCATTGTTACTGTAATCGACTAATCATTTTCGAGTAACGTGTCCAATCCTGGTATCACCACAGGAACAGCGCAACAGTGACTGGGAGACTGCTGTTCTGTCAGACGATGTTTGCTTCATCAGTGCTCAGCGCACGTTCAGATTGGTTGGAGTGAAATATTCAATTCAGCACAATACTAGTTTCATCTACAATTGTTCTGGAATACGAGGCTGAATAAGTACCTACCCTGCCGTTGTGCGACATTTATTTATGATCTGGCCGGGCAATCCACACTGCGCTCGTGGATTGCCCTATAGAACGCTAAAGTCAAATTTGAAATATTTTTTTAACTATCAACAATGGCAAATTTTTAAAGTCAAATTTGTCGTCCGGAATCTACATTGGCAATTTAATCAGTGTATCATAACAGCCAACCAGAGAGGAAAATAAATCATGTTGCTTTTTAATTAAATATATCAGATTTATTTGATTTAAGTCAGATTTATTTTATATAAATCAGACACACGTTTTAAGTAACTTCAGCTAGAAAATGTACTTTTTTCATTAGATGTTCTTTTTAGTGGCTGCCTGATATAAATAATTCCTAGCTTGATCATTCTTTGCTTTAAATACAAAATAAATGCCCATCGGAAGCACATATTGATAGACAAAGGGTAACTAAAATGTTTTCAGTATTGTTGTGGGAAAAAGTATGTGATTTAAATCGTCATAACAAAATCAGTGTGATTTAAGTCATCATTTAAATCACGATGCATATCATCTTGATTTTGATTATCCACCCTTACGCCAACCTACCGTGCATCACGCTGTGATAATTATACGACCAGATGCCGGTACATTTCCCGGGAATATCGAATCCATTCGTTGGCGCTCTGATAAACCAGAGCAAGTTTTAAAATGCACCGCACGCTATCCTTCCATAGACACGCACCGATTTCATCAAAATCCAATGAAGAGTCGATTCCGTTGTCGGTTCCGTTGTAGCCAATTTTAAATCTGCGACAATATGTTCGGTTGGCACAGAATGTCTGCTGATATCGTCGCGCTTTTGGACAAAAATGATAATAACAACAAAGGTTTGTTCATTTTAGAAGTCCATTTGATTTTATTATTTGTTTGCTCTTGTGAAAACATTTCTTGCTACCTCGCTCCGTAAAACCTACTATATATTCGAAAATGACAACTTAAAAAGCGATATTACAATTCTATACAAATGTAGAGTATACGTTGTGACTCTGAAGCTGACAATCTTTCGGTTTAGTGCAAAAGTTCGACCTGGGTTCTGAGAATCAATTTCCAATCTCTCGCCTCTTTTTTTAAGTTTGATTTCTTTACGCGAAACGGCGCAGCTTGCGAAGTAATAATAACGTGATAGTCGCAAATTTCAAAACTGTTTACAAAAAAAAAAGCTCTTTTAGGACTGGCATGTTTGAAGAAAACATTACAACAGAGCTACGGATAGAGGATTTTGCTCATACTGCACCCAATTCAAAAAGGTTATGGCACACAAAATATACAAAGAACGCAACGTAGCCATGCTGAGCCGCCTACAGTACAAAAATAAGATTATACGCGGCAAATATCCCGTTCCACTGGCGACGTTGAAAATCGCCGCAGCAAAACGCCTGAATCTATTTTGATCTCGGAGCAAGATTTATAACTTCATTCTCCCTGCCAGCCCCTATCTCGCGTGCTTATGTGTGCGCGCGTGTTCTCTAATAAATGTTAAAATGTAATTTTCAGTCCATTGTAATCCAAATCACACAGTACGTCAGTTTCGTAACTGCGCGTCGTTTTAAACAAACTTGTCTTTTTGTTCACATTGTAAAGCACCAAACTCGTTAAATATCTCGCCGTTTACTTGTGTCTTGAGCTTTATTCATTACGTACTTAAGGTTGGAGCACTTCTGGTCTTCACAATTTTGTTTTCTCAAATTGAGGGGGCAAATATTTTTTTGTATATAGATATACATAGGTATTTCTATATCTACATAAAAAAAAGGGGAAAAAAAGGCCGATCTCTGAAGAGCCGCGTGCGCAATATTAATTCTTCACGTGACCAATGTAACAGTTAGCGGGTCCATTTCTTTCTGTTACAGTTACATTCTTTTTGACACGGCGCCTTCCTGGACTTCTCGTGGACTTTGGCTCTTGCACCGTGCGCCATAAGAAACCTGGATTGTCCGCTTTCCCACAAAACACTCGGGAGATCCAATCGTTGAAATTCACGAAAAAAAACGCGGAAAATAACCAAACTAAAAAAAAAGAAAAGAATTATTAGATTAAAAAAGTAATACACCCGCGCTGTGACATTGAACGCGATGGACCGTCATGCTTGGTGTCCCAGCGCAGACCGCTCTTTTAGATCTAAAGGTGTCTCCAGCTTCGGCAAGCGATTTGCGCTCCCAAATGCTTTGTGGGAAAGCATATATTTATACTTCGGATTTCTTCAAACGTTCTTTTAAAATCGGAAGAAAAAAAAAAACATAAACAAAATCGTTAACTACGTGAAAACCCACACGAAAAATCAGGGAAGAATTTCACCAGCCTGGCTGCACGTGTTCTTGTGGTAACGTAGGTGAGAACCTGAATGAAGGCTGTGAGCTCCCGCAATGTGCATTTTGTGCCGTCATCAAATTGAGTATCCTCGACGGACGATACGTTAACTTACCCAGAGCTCGCCCGAATAATCGCACTTACATACCTACAATCTAAACGTTATTTTTTCTTCTTTTAGTTACTTAAATTTAAGAGCATCGTAGCTGCTTTTCGTAGTGATATTATAGCCATCTTCGGGGTTCTGTTGGGGATGAATGAAATGAAGATGGGACGAGATGAAGAAAAATACGGAGGAAAAATACTGTAAGAAACAAGGAAGAAAGAAAGGGCGCATAGAAGAGAGGAAGACGAAACGTCTAAAAAAAGAACGCGAGAAGAAAAAGAAAGAAGGAGAAAAGGAAACAAGGCAAGAGGCAAAAAAGAAATTGTGAAAAGTACAAAAAAGAAAGAAAAAAGAAAGAAGCGTGAACGAAACAAAAAGAGGAAAAAAAGGGAGGCATGGACAGACGATAAGAATTGCACCTCGGTCATATACAAATTACTGAATGAAGAAAAAAAAAAAGCGAATGAGCATTGCAGCTGTCATCATGCGACGCGTATGTCGACGACAAGCACGCCGAGGTTACCTTGTCCCACGCAGAGAACGCACCAGGCCGTCGGAGACTCCAGGGTTCCGAAGAGAAAAAGGATCCGTGCCTTTCGACTGCCGAAGTGGGACAGGCGACGATAAAACGCGATCGCTCTAACAGCCAAGTTTTAAAGCTTTGGCGTGCAAAGAAAAAAAAAGAAGCGTGAAACATGGAGCAACAACGGTAAGATCTCCTGCAGACGGATGACCCATAAAGGGAAAGCACAGAAACGCTTTAAAACAAGATTGCATTCTAAACAGTTTTATACCATTGTTTGTTTATTTGTATGTTTGTTCTGTCTCTTAGGTTGTTTCGCTTTCTTTCTTTCCCATACAGGTCCCAGAACAGTTGTCATAGAAGGACTGCGTTCAAACTTTACTATGTGAAAACTTTTTTTTTTACTTTACACGAACGAAGTCTAGAACTTGACAATAAACACCAAGTACAACAACTACATTCTCAAAACGCCCCTCGCAGACCGTGATTTTTTTTTTTTCCAAAATTTAAACAAGATTTTTTTAAAATCAAGTATACTTTCCTTTTCCACCTTGGAATCCGAGAACTCGAAATGTGACCCGTAGTCCCCTAGACGAATGGCCCAATGTATGCGCGGTAGAGCTACGTCGAAAAAGGTCCATTTCGAGCATCCTCTTGGGTGTCGTTCCTAGCGCGCTTAAAACGAGCAAAAGAAAAACACACAAAAATCTCCAAGTCACCCACTGATGTGCTAAGTGCGTAGGTTAAAAAAGAAAAACCTCGAATTAGTTAAAAAGAAAACGTGATTCGGAGCACCGTTGTTTCATTTAACAACGAATGACAGCGTCCAATAATGAAAATTTGCGTCTAGAGTCAATTACAAGTTAAAAAGCACCGTGAGATTTTCGCCTAACGATTTGTTTCTTGTTCTTATTGGCTAAGGCCGTAATCTGATTGACTAAGGAGCGCTAAAGGAATGCTCACGACTCCGGCACACCCTCCGTTTTTTCGGCTGTTAGTCACGTAATCATCTACCTTTAAGCTTATTTCACGTTTAAACCGTAATTAATCCATGCTGTCCCGATATGAAGCCTTTCTGCCACGGCGCCTGCGCGGGAAAGAAAGAGCATACTTCCCGTTCAAACGGTTCGTGGTTATCACTCCTATAGTGCAAACTAAGTTTCTTAGTTCTCGGGCGGTTAGGTTCAGGTGTTTCTTTCCATTTCCGCGTCGTTAAAAGATGTGTGCCATCGCAGGGTCAAATTTTCTTTCAGATGGTTGCAAAACAAAAGAAAAAAATAATAATATTAGAGAAACGACCACAGCTGAGCGCGAAATTCCGCGTCCTCTAGGGCACAATAACTCGCAACCCGTGAAAGCCGCTCGGGCCACAATCTCCGCCACTGTGCGTGCATCAACGTAACCGAAAAGCGTAAAGCTTCCTTTCAAAAGCGACGCCTCAAGGTCGTCACCCTGATGTGGCGAACCACTTAATTAGCTCGAAGCTCGTTTTCGTTTTATAATTGCATCCCGCTTCATTCATAGATAACCAGTCCGCTCATCATTATGGGCTTGACCGAACCTTTTTTTTTTCTTTTTTGTATTTGCTGCTTTGTTACGGTCGCTTTGTTTTCGCTTGATGATAGCACAGAGAAGTTAATCGCCTTGACGCGACATTTTTGTTGCGTTCTAGCGCTTATTTTGTGTTTCTTTCTCTTTTTTTTTTTTTTTTTTTTTTTTTACAGCAGTTTTTTTAGGATCGTGTCCCCCGCAAAGAAATGAAGACGCCGAACTCTGGACAGCAACCGCCATCTATGGGTGACGGCGGCAAGCCACGTACCGGGTTGCCGCCGTCGCTCATAGATGGCGGCAGCCTTTCCACTCTGGCTTGCCGACTTGCGGCCGGCCATTACTTTTAATTGTACAGCTCCGCTGGTCTTCGTTCTTCACCAAAATAAAAAGGCTGATTTTTTTTTTAATTTATAGAACAGGAAAAAACGTTTTATTGTTTTTCGGACACGTCAAAACCAGAAGACATAATGCGAAAGTTGTATAATAGATGGATTGAACAGAATCGACGTTGGAATTATGAACCCACCGAGATGCAACATCGTCGAAGACCAGGAAAAAAAATGGAGCCGTCCTGCGTTAATGTACAGTGCACGGCGATAGCTGCGACAGGTTTCGGCGAAGTCGTTGGGAATCGGTGTCGCGTTCACGCACCGCGGAGTGCGTGAACAGAAGCGTTCTGAACAAAGTTGTTGTTGTTGAAAACTTTACTGGACGTAACAGGAAAGATCGGGAAGGGAAGGGGGAGTTAAAGAGATAGAGAGTGAGTGTATGCCCTCATTCCAGGGCTCCAATTGCGGTTTGGGCATGCAGCGCGCGGGTCACCAGCAGCTTTTGCACATCGATGACTTCACTCTGCAGCCCCGCTTCCCACTCTTGAGTAGAAGGCTCCATTAGTGGAGCCAGTCCAGGGATCTTCTTACACTTCCAAGTAATGTGATGCACGTCCGCCCAGGGGTCACCACAGAAGGGGCAGGCTCCCGTAGTGTACCGGTCGGGGTACCACTGGTGCAACTTGGCGGGGGTCACAAGAGTGCCCGTCTGGAGCCTTCTCCAAGTCCATTCTTCTTCCTTTCCAAGCCCCCCCGCACGGGCTCGGGAATACGCGCCTGTCGAGTTCCTTCATTTTGAGTGCCTCGTTAAACGAGAGGTCCGTGTCCACTTGACCACCCGACTGGGACGAGTCCCGGAGAATACAGCCTCGGGCCGCAGCGTTTGCTGCCTCATTCCCAGTGTTCCCCATGTGGCCAGGGGACCAGATCAGATGCACCCCCTGCACTTCCGTCTTACGTAGTATTCTATCAGCGACTGCGCACACCATCCCGCGAGCGAAATTTCCACATGCTTTCTGGGAGTCAGAGATGACAGTCGCCCTGGGGTTGCAAACAACCGCCAACGCAATCGCCGCTTCCTCAGCCTGCCCAGCCGACTCTACTCTGACCGAAGCTAATCTTAACACCCGACCCTGGGCGTTAGCCACTGCGATTGTGGCAACTCCGTTTACTGGGCCGCCACAGTCAACATATAGCGTTCCCTCTCTGTGATCCCATGTCTTAGACAGGGCCTCAGATCTGGCCTTTCTTCTGCCGTCGTCCTTTCCTGGTTGCATATTCCTCGGGATACGACTCACCACTATTTTCTTCCGTATTTCTGCTGACAGCTCGTGGTCGGGGACAGTACCCGTATGCGTTCCTCCCGGAACCGCCATCCCGAGTTTGTCCATGAGCCACGCCCCGTTCTTCGTGGACGCCAACCTCTTTAGTTGAGCCACGAGATGTGCTTCGTGAAGCTCATCTATCGTGTTGTGGACCCCTAACTTTAGTAATTTGTCGGTCGCTGTCCTCTCGGGAAGCCCTAGCGCACTTTTGTAAGCTCTTCTTATCAAAACATCAATTTTTTGCCGTTCCGCTTTACTCAAGACCAAGTACGGTGTGGCGTAAGTGATTCTGGAGATAATAAAGGCCTGAACGAGTTGCATTGCTTCTTTCCCTTTTATGCCCCTCCTGGCCTTCGAAGCATGCCACAGACCTGGGTGGTCATGGTGTCAAGTTTATCGATAGTCGACTTATTGCCCCTGCCTTGTCGAATGAGCTGGCCGAGGATACGAATCTCCGTGGGTTTAGAGACCCGTTTCCCGCTCACCCAAACCTCAATCTGTTCCGACACACGTTCATAAGGGTTCCTCAAGACAAGTAATTCGGACTTCTCCGGTGCACACTTTAGACCGCACTCCTCAGCGTAGTCTTCTACAATTTTGGCAGCCGCCTGTAGTCTTTCTTCAATCTCCGCGTCGTTTCCCTCCCGACACCACAGGGTAATGTCGTCGGCGTAGATGGCGTGTTCCACACCGGGAACCACCCCCAGCGCCTCCGGCAAACCCCGCAGAGCCAGATTGAAAAGAAGCGGAGATAAAACAGCCCCTTGAGGCGTCCCCTTTGAGCCGAGCTCGAAGCTATTGGATTTCATGCTCCCTAAGGTTAGAGTAGCCTTCCTGTCCGTTAAGAAACTCCGTACGTATTCGGACGTTCTCTGTCCGCAGTGGATCTCGTTCAGGCCTCTGAGTACGCTGGCATGCGAAACGTTATCAAAAGCCCCCTTTAAGTCAAGAGCGAGAATACACCGTGTTTGTCCCCTGGAAGGGTTCTCCAAAAGATCTTTGTATATCCACAGGAGGATGTCCTGTGTTGAGGTACGAGGTCTAAACCCAAATTGAGTATGGGGCATGAGATTTTCCTTCTCCAAGTACCTCATGAGCCTAGTGTTTAGTACCCTCTCAAAAGCTTTACCCACGCATGAGGTAAGTGAGATGGGTCTAAGATTTTCTAGATTTAAGTTCTTTTTGGGCTTGGGAATAAAGCGAATGTCAGCGGTTTTCCAGCAAGCTGGCGTCACCCCCCTAGCCCAGTAGTGCTCGTTAAAATGATTAACTAGCTTCCCGAGTTCGCCTTCTTCCAAGTTATAAAGGAGTTTTGCCGTGATGGTGTCGGGCCCCGGCGCGGTGCCCTTTTTCATGGCCCCGAGCTCGTACTCGAATTCTGCCACCGATACCGGCCTATCCAGTTCGGAGTTTTCGCGTCCTAGATATTCTAGAGTTTCCTCCGCGCGTTCAAGACACAAATATCTGCGCGCGAGTTGGTCTATGATTTGCTCTGTATCGTTGGGTAACTCGTATATGAGTTCAGCTATTCTACTGTCCGTAACCGACTTAGTCTTAGTTGGATCTATGAGTGCCCTAAGGAGACGCCAGGACCGTGCCGTACCGAGGCTGCCGCGTATAGAGTCACAAATCCCATACCAGTTGTTCCTAGCGAGCTCGACCGCATGGTCCTCCGCGTCCTTAGTTAGTTCTTGGATCTTAGTACGAATCTTCTTGTGGTGTCGCTGACGTTTACACCTCTTGGTCAGACCACGCCGGGCCTCCCAAAGGTGGAGGAGTCTTGCATCCACAGCCGGGGTCTTCTCCGAAAGCTCAACCTCCGTGACAAAAGGGCGCAGGCTCGTGGTCACGTCCGCAGCCCACTCCTCAATGTCCGCCAGGTGCACTTCTGTCTTTTCTCTTTTCTTCCTCCATTTGTCCCAGTCCGTTATCTTTGCGGTTCCAGTTTTTCTCTTGTATCCTGCCTCTCTTAGTGTCGTTTCAAGGATACAGTGGTCGCTTCCAAGTTGTTCTGCCAGGTTCTTCCAGTCGGCGCTCCCACGTTCTTCACCAGCGTGAGGTCCGGGCACGTATCTCTGCACGTGCTAGTCCCCGTCCTGGTAGGCTGGTCAGGTTCCGTGAGGAGCGTGAGGCGTTCCTGGTTGATTCCTTCGAAAAGTTTGCGTCCTTTCGGCGTGACGTATTTGTAACCCCATCCCGGGTGCGGGGCATTAAAGTCCCCCACGATGACGAGAGGTTCCTTGCCGGCCGCCCTCACCGCGTTTCCCATGAGAGTTATGTAGTCAACCTTGTGAAGCTTGGGGTTCCCGTACAGATTCACTATGTGGACACCCCGGTCCCCCTTCTTCACCGGGACGATCACCACATACCCACACTCCACTCCGCCCCCGTCCAGGTGCCTCTCCGTGGCCGCGAATGTCCTGTGGACGAGGGTCGAGAAGTATTGGGTTCCGCCGACCGTCCGGTAGTCCTTAATCTTTACGGGCTTCTTTCCAGGTTCCTGCAGAAGTATTACCGCAGGGGGATCGGTTTCAAGCGACAACCGAAGGCTGAGACTGGCCTGCTTCCGACCTATCCCCCTGCAGTTCCATTGCCATATTTTCAGATATGATTGTTTTAGACGACACATGGTTATTCGTGTCTTCTACTGATTCCACTTCACGTCGTGCATCAGTCGGCGATCTTCTCTTCGCCCCTAGCTCCTGGAGCAGGGAACTTCTTTTTCGTTCCAAGAATGTCGATTTTTTCCCGCTTGACCCAAGTTGCTTGAGCATGGACTCCCGGTTTCGCTCCAACGCTACCACTTTGTTGGAAAGCTGCGTGATTTTTTCCATTAAAAGCTGCGTGGCAGACTGCACCGCCTGTTTCACCGCAGCCTCCACGATTTCTCGAAATTGGTCCGTAGTGATCCCGGGGGTCCCAGAGCAAATGCTCTTCATTTCCACATCTTCCACTCCTTTACTCGGGGCATCCTGCCTGAGGACTTGTGTATGCTGGCTACTCCCGCTTGACCTCGGTGGCGGGTTATTCTTGGTCACATTAATATGGTTATCATTTTTCTGCAGCTCGGGCCATTTCTCCTGGTCCCCCAGGTCCAAGTTCTTCCCGTCCCGCGACATAGATCTTTGATTCCAATTTTGCTTCTTCCCGCCTTTACGACTTTTCCTCTTCCTTTTCTTTTCGGAAAGAGGCGCCGGGCGTGACGAGTTTCTCTTGCAGCTTGCTGATCTGCTGCGAGAGCGAGCACGCGGCCTTGAGCCACTCCGCTCCTTCGACAGCCAGCGCACCTGCTGTTCTCCGTTGCGGTGCCTCGAGCGGCTCCGTCCGGTTCTCTCAATTTGTCTCTTCTCCTTGAAAAACTGTTTTGTGCGCCCCTCCGCACAGTGCGCACTTCGGGACACATGGGTGTCCCTCCATCGCTTGCGGGGCCCCGCACATCGCACACGCGTAACCCGTCGGTTTGCTGCACACATCCGTCCGATGGCCGGCCTCTCCGCAGTTAAGGCAGGCTGCCTTTGTCTTCTTGTATAGAAAGCAGGGCGTTTCCAGCCAGTTGAAAGTGACCGTGAACGGAACTTTGGTCCCGGCGAAAGTGATGAGCGCCGATTTGGACCTTCCGAGCCTCCTAGCGTCGAGTATTTCGTGTCCTGGGGCCCTGATTTTCTCTCTGATCTGTGCATTGGACAGCTCCGGCCGAACCCCATGAATGACGCCACGGCATGCCTCTTCCCTCGGGGAGACGTGGTAGGCCACAACGTCGAGTTGTCCGGACGGGAATATCAAACTTCTAAGCTTCGCCAACGCTTCGGCTTCGTCCCATATGTCCGTGCAGATCATAATGGTGTTTTGCTCTTCTAGCAACCGGACGATTGAATTCTCCGCAAGACACCTCGGGAGCGAGTTCTGCACCGCTTCGCCGATCTGGTCCCGGCAGCTTTTCAAGTCGACCGCCGTCTTCCGTGGCTTCACAATGATCTTGTGCTTGAATTCCTTGAGGCTGGGAAGCCGAAACGGTCTCTTCGTCTCTTTCTTCTTGACCTCCGTTGCTCTACCGGTAGGTCCTCGGTCTTCCTTCCGCTGGTCATGGACTTCTTTCTTCTGGGTCTTCTTTTTATGCACAACTTGTACCCAGCTATTGCCGGGTAGCGTGCCTACTTGCTCCTCCGAGGCGGTTTTCTGAATTCCATCCGTATAAAGGGGCCGCGCCGCTGGATTTATGGAGTCAAAAGCCACCTTGTCCGGATCGTATCCGGACAAGGTGCTGGGGCTGAGCACGAGAGCTTCCGTCGATATTACTTCCATCTTGCGTTTTCCACCGCCGCCGCGGCGGTTCCACGTGGTGACGCTTAGCTGGTTAGGGCCAGTAGGGCGGCCGCACCGAGCGAACTCGGCTCATCGCCCTATAGTCGAGCAAGGCCCAACGAGGCTTAGCGAGGTTCCTCGTGGGTTCAAAACAAAATGCCTCTAAAATCAAAATATTCCGCTCACCAGCTTGAGGAAGATATCCACGTGAACTGGGTCACTAACGCTGTCTATCCAAGACTTCTTCTCGCTCGGAAAGCAAGAATTTCAGCACGAAACATCGGTTTTTCGCGGAGCCTTAATGAGCATGCGTCCGCTCGCCGCAGCCTTCTTCTTCTTCCCTGAACAAAGCAGTCATATGTTCCGTTCCGAACACTATTGTTCCATTTTGTTCCAAATGTTTTGTTGTTTTTTTTGTTTGTTTTTTGTTAGCGCGTGAAAGCGCAACATCCGGCACGAGCTCTTGGCACTGATACCAGAGCCGTATATGTCTATATGTTTCCCTATCGCGATCCACTCTTAAAGGCGAAGCTTAAACGTCCTCCAAATTTTTTCTTTTATGTTTATATTGGAAACATTTGTCCTTCTATGTTGTCACAGAACAAATTTATGGTCTGCACTCTATGTCGCAATTATGCGACTTTATTTAGTTCCATAGCCGCCTCGAAGACAACGAGGCAAAGCTCTGGCCTACAGACCCCCGTTAGTTCTGGAGTGAAAGAGTGGTAGAAACTGTTCAAATTCGTTTGTTGTACTGGCCCTCCTGGTTAGCTGATTTGGTAGAGCGCTTCGCCACTCTTGGAGAGGTCTCCGGGGCCGGTACCTGAACCTGGCGTATATTTTCAACGGTAGCAAGTCGCCTAGAATGCGAGAAGTGTGCTCCATTTCAGTGTAAGTAAATTTATTCAAGCGTAAATCTGTTCCAACTTGGGAATTCCGTCTAAATTAATATATGTAATTCATGTCACAAATTGTGTGCGGTGTTAACAAGGGTACGGGAACGTTAAGTGCTTCGCCTCAGTG